GTACATTGAACGCATATTGGAGAGCTTCAATATGAAGAATGCTAAGCCTGTGAATATACCTCTTGCTGGTCATATGAAGTTGAGCAAGAAGATGTGTCCTACAGCTAGGGAGGAAAAAGAGAACATGGCCAAAGTTCCATATTCCTCCATTGTCGGAAGTCTAATGTATGCAATGGTGTGTACTAGACCTGATATTGCTCATGCAGTTGGTGTTGTCAGTAGATTTCTCAAAAATCCGGGAAAAGAGCATTGAGAAGCTGTGAAATGGATACTCAGGTATCTTAGAGGAAGCTCAGATGAATGCTTGTGTTTTGGAACATCAAATCCAATCTTGAAAGGCTATACAGATTCTGATATGGCAGGTGACCTTGATAACAGAAAATCCACTACTGGATATTTGTTTACTTTTTCAGGGGGAGCTATATCATGGCAGTCAAAGTTGCAGAAGTGTGTTGCACTATCTACAACCGAAGCTGAGTATATTGCGGCTACTGAAGCTGGCAAGGAGATGATATGGCTAAAGCGATTTCTTCAAGAGCTTGGTTTGAATCAAATGGAGTATATTGTCTATTGTGACAGCCATAGTGCAATAGACTTGAGCAAGAACTCCATGTACCATGCAAGAACAAAATACATTGACGTCAGATATCATTGGATTCCGTGAGAAAGTAGAGAATGAATCATTTCACGTCAAAAAGATTCACACAAGTAAAAATCCTGCAGATATGTTGACCAAGATGATACCGAAAGACAAGTTCGAGTTATGCAAAGAACTTGTGGGTATGAGCTCTCTCTAAAGAAGTTGAAGATACCTTCTTCCAGTAAATGGGACTGGAGGGGGAGATTTGTTGAATCCATCCCATTGTTTTAGTCAACTTTAGCTATTCAATTTGTACAAACAATTGTTAAAAAGGAATAGTAATTGGAGTTGAAAAGAAAAGATTTGGTAGTTGACAAATTGGTAAGATTTGCAACCATTCTTGACTTTGCTATGTTTACATATGTCATTAGTGACATAGGCATGGTTTTATCCTTCTATAAATAGAGCATTCTTGCTCATTTGTATAACACACCAAGTTAGAGAGAAAAACCATTTTGAGAGAAAAGTGAGGTATTCCATACACTATATAAGAAAATAGTCTGTGAAGAAAAATAGAGTATGAGCGATATTTTAGTAAGACGGAAACTAAAAGAGTGTTGTTCCTTTTGCGTGTGTAGTAGTCACTTTGAGTGTTGTATTCGTGACTACACAGTGTAAAATTCCTTACTATAGTAATATCAATTGTTCCTCTTGGCCCGTGGTTTTTTTCCTTATTCAGAAGGGTTTCCACGTAAAATTCTTGGTGTCGTTATTTTCTCATTTTATTTCCATTACTTTTACCATATATATTTTTGTGCTTGTCCGCGTTTTCCCAACATAATTCCCCTACAAATATAGATGAATGCATTAATACTAGTAGTAGAAACACCCCTTACCTTAGCATCAAGGTAAACTACACATCTCTGTACTAGCATGAGTACTAATGCCACTATATTCTATGAACGAATATTAGTAATGAATATCAATATTTTGTTAACCAAAAAAAAAAGTTCAAAGTTAAAAACTTACAAAAATATAATGGTCGCTACATTATAGTTCAAAACATACATATATAACATTTTGAATATATAGTCCAAAATCTATAGCTATTACAATGTTTGTGAAAGGCGCGCACACATGAGCACTAGTAAATAAGTAAGAAATTATAGATACATAAAAATAGATACAAAGTATCAAAACTAATAATTAGTCTTGAGCTTCATTAAAAATTATAATCATTACAAGTAGTTTTTAAGTTTCTGACAATTTCACAATATGCATTATGTGCAGCCCTATTTAGAGCAATTAATTTCTTGCCACTAAATTTTCCCTTGCCTGCAAATTCACCAGCAAAAACTTCAATTTCTCCTGTTTTTTCCCATGTATCGATAAGTTTAACACTCCATCCATTTCTTTGGCAAACCTCATAGAATTTTGTAACTGGATGAGTCTCTAGATTTTCTGGAGTAATCATAGGTTGCAACAAATTTTCTACCACCTGTCCAAAGTTTAACTTGTTGATATAAGTTTCTTCTATACACAAATGAATGTGTATTTAAAATCTAGAGTTAGTACGTCATATTGTAGTTGCAAGGTTCTCTGTTTCAATTTATGTGGAAAAAAACAATATGAAATTAGGTGTAAAAATTACAAAAAAAAAAAGATCAATAAAAATTTACATATTTTAAAATCAAACGGAAGGTTCTATAAATCAACACAAATAATAGTCCATACAGTACATCAAAAATGATCTTTAACGACAATTAATTAACGATAATAGTTTAATTGCTACTAAAAATATATTGTTAATGGTATTTAAAACTCTTTATAAATGTCCCTAAAGTTTATAGCGACGGTGGATCAAATGACAATTAACTAATGTCGCTAAAGACTTTACCTCTCCTTGTAAATGTGTATATTTATTGTCGCTAAAGGTTGTTTTTGTTGCAGTGAAAATATTTTTAAAATGTTTAAAACATTTATGTCAAAGAAAAAATCGTTTAACTCTCAAAACAGTAACACCTCCACATAAAATGAGATGAAAAAAAGTATTAGTTCCTTCATTTTAAAATGCTTGTAGCAATTTTTTGTTGAGAGTCAAACGGTTTAAACTTTAACCTAGATATATTTGTTCATCATACACGTTCGTGCATGTAGTGATGGCTTATGTCTTTAAAAATGAGGCATATGTCTTGGACCCCAAAATTGAAGGGCCGAATTGGTAATAATAAAATTATCTTAAGCTTTTTTTTTAACCAAAAGAAATAATAATTGAAAAATATTTTAAAAAGAAAGAAATAACTTGAATCTCAATATTAAAAAAAATAATTAAAATTTAGATTTCCAAGCAACTTATTTTTGACTTTAGGTCACTAATTAGCTAAGTCGCCGCAACGTGTATGCAAATAATATGAAAGTATGGACGATGTACAAGTACAACCACTTTCATAATACTACACCCCTAGCTATACAACTAATACACAAAATAAATTAGTAGTGAAGCAATTATAATGCACCTGCCAAGTTATGTCCATGGAGAAATTGCAGTCAATATAAATGGCACCAATGAGGGATTCCACAACATCAGCCAGCACCTTTGGGGGATCAATAAGTCCTGTTGAATGTAATGGGTACTCAAACATTGCATCTTTGAATTCTTCTACCTGAAAAAACATAACAAGTTTTAATTATTTGGAAATGTAGCTCAAATTAGGTCGTGTATTCCATCTAAAGGGAGACAGAAATTCAAATAAGGCCATTTAGAAAAAATCTGATTTAGAACTTATGTATATGCAAGATAATTAATTATATATAAATATTTCTAACAACGAAGTGTTGAATTCAATAGGAAACATATTTGCATTTACTTCAAAAACGTGATTAGCTGGCAATGGTACACATGACACTTCTGACTTTAAATGGTGAATTAATTCAACACTATTAATGTTTAGGGTAATATGAAGTGACAGGTTTTATATGAGAAGTGTTAAATGAGCTGTTTGGTGCGGAGGAAAATGTTTTTTTTTATATATAAAAAACATATTTTAGTAATTGATATACAAATAAAAAGATATTATTTTCAAAATATTTATATATTACGTAGCAAAATATTATGAAAGTGAAGAGGAATGGTCAAGGGATTGGGGTTTCGAAATTATGGAGGAGATAATAAACTGGGAAGGTTACTTATGCCATCAATGTTGTCTAATTATGTTTATAGAATGATTTCCAGAAAAACAATATTTATAGAAACCAAATATCTATCAATTTTTTAAACTCACGCCAGACAATTACCTAATAACTCATTGGTTGAATTTTCGACCTAACAAATTAACAGTTTCTTTCTTCCGTCCAAAATTAATTAATTAATGCTTTAAACTTTAAAAATTGATTCATGATTAAGGTGTATTATAGAGATGGATTTTCAGATTATTTCCATCTATCAAATAGATTGTTCATAACATAGCTAATATCACCAAATGAGAACACGTGAATTGTCTCTCGTTAGCAATCGGTACTAGATGTTTTAGTAAATTACTTTATGATTGAAACAAATGAGAAAAATTCACCTAATATTTTTTATTTATATTAGAATTTTAACCTGAAGCCTCGTGATTCAACTTACATATTTCCTTTTTTCCTTTCTCAATTGATATCCTCTTACTTTATTGACACATATTAGAAGTTTGATTTCTTCCAGCTAATTTTTTTCTTTTTCATATTCTTTGGTTTTAGAATCTTCATTTTATCATTGATGACTTGGTCCATGGTCTCCTTTTCATCTCTGTAAGTTATTGTCTTATATATAATATAATAAAATATTGGAGTGGTCAAGTCAATCCCCTCATCCCCTCCCCAAACCAATAACATCTAAATCACTATATCTAAATCTAATAGTGATGGCATGAAAAAAAGAATATCTAAAATTTGTTCTTGATAAAAATATCATATTTTAATTAAAATTTAAAAATAAGTGAATTTCTTAATTTATCTGTCCAAACTTACATGGAGATTTTAGTGGGAATTAGTATGAAAATTCGAAGAAAACTTATTTTTCTGTGAATTTTCATAGTAATTCTCATATAATTCACAATTTTCTTGTAGTATACTAAGAATTTAAAAAACATATCAAGACAACAAAAATAGAAATAATAAAAAAGTAAATATTATTACTTACTTGACTTTTAAATAGAGGTTTCTTGTGCCGTAAATACTTATGAAAATCATATCTGATGGCTACCCTAGCAAGTTTTTCGGTATCCACGTTAGCCGCTCGCAGCCGCGTCAACTGTCCCGGCGCCAAATCAGGATGTAGAAAATAATGGAACTTTGCTATCAACATATTTAACACGGAGTCACCTACGTATTCAAGCCTTTCATATGATTCATACTTATCTTCTCGATGAAACGAAGGATGAGTAAAAGCTTGATATAACAAATTAACATTCTTGAATTCGTATCCTACCGCGTCTTGTACTTCTTCCACAAACTTTTTCCATTCAAGAGTTACCTTATTTAGATCTCGATTTTCGCTTTCATCAAGTTGTAAATCCATCGAACCAAAAAGACAATCTCGAAGATTTTTTTTTTCTTCTATGGCTCTAACTTATATATCACATGTATCAAAGGGGAGGAAGGTTTGAATAAAGGTAATAATAATGACATAAAAGTTGTCAAGGCTCATAATAGATATCTATTAAATAGTTGATCAGAACAAGGAAGAAATTTTATTGTTTTAAATGATAATAATAATTTGAAGATGTTGATGGCGTGTTGAATGACGTTTTAGGGTTTCTTGTTTTGAAAAAAAAAACAATTTGATTTCAACTATGAACCATATTATAAAGAAATTGTATATTGATAATGATCTTTTTATTTATTATTTCTTTATTAAAAGTAAAATTAATCTAAACTTAGTTTGTAACGTTCTAGAGCATAAACATTTGAAAAAAAATTATGTAAATACTTTATACAATCTTAAAAATTTCACACAATTTAAAAAAAATTATAAAAATCTCTAGTCTCTACTATTCTCGAATGCATTACTTTACTCGATTTATCAATATATCACTTTATGTGATGGATCGGAATGTCAAACTGGAATACGATGTATTTAGACGTTTTAGGATATATTCGGACTCCACCAAAAGAAATTATAATTTAAAAAGAATCGAAAATAAAATGTAATTAACTCTTAACACAATGTGATTTGTGTGATAAATATTTGACTATAATGGCTTGTTTGGTACGGGGCGGCTCAACGCATTTAAAATGAGATATCCGCTTTAGGTCCAAATTTGAGGAACCCCGTGTTTTTAGTAATAATAAAATTGCTGTGAGTTATTTTTAAAAAGAAATTATACGTCTTTCATATAATTTATTTTACTCTTTTAAGTTTGTTTTGAAATATTAAAAAATGTTATTTTTTTCAAATTTTAATTCAATTTTTCACTTTTCATATTTAAGACCACAAGATTTATAAGATATGTTGGTGTATAAACATAATTTAGTTTAAGAATTTTCAAAAAAGGTTCTTTATGACGAAGTACTAATTATAAAAAAAGTAAAAATTTTTTATTAAAAGAGAAAAATAATTTGCCTTTAAATATTTTTAAAAAAATATACTAACAATTCGGCATCTTAAACCTACAAAAACAGACTTTTAATATATGTAAAAAAAATAAAATCTATAATTTATTTTTGACTTTAAATGGTACAAAGAATAAATAATAACTCGACACTTATTAGAATTGACCTAACCTACACAGAAATATAATTCAAAACTTATAATACAAATTCTTTATCTAGAACTTAATTAAGAATGGAAGTAAAAGTTTCTTATGTTATAACTACTTATGAAGGTTATACGGTTATTTTAGCTAGTTTTTTATCAACCTTAACCACTGTCCCGTTGAAATTGAGATATATAAAAAAAATGTATCATTACTATTAATAAAATTAGCACTAAATCATCAACGTATTTGTAATTATCACCTCTTTTCATCAAACTAAAAAGACAATCCAAATTATAGTCCATCACTCCGTATCATTAATCAGCATAAAATCAGTTGTATCACTAGAGTCTAAAGTATCACGGCTCAACAAATTTAAGGGATTTTTTTGTAAATATTAAATTTGTCGGGACAGAATGTAATTATTGAATTATACTACGGGATTCCTTAAATTTATACCGGAATAAAAAAATAACTTAAATACACAACTATAAGTTTTATATTCTCTAATTTTCCCTTCTTTTTTTAAATATTACATAATTCCTTTTTTTTAATATTAGTGTAAGTTCTCTCTCCTATAATACACAATTACCAATTTTAATGCCTATTTGTTCTCCATTAAAACACTCAACCTTTTAAATCAGTTTTTGGATTTTGAATTTTCTCCATTTAAACACTCAACCTTTAAAATCAGTTTTTTTATTTTGAATTATTAATTTTAATTAATTTTAAATAAAAGACCTAATTTTGAAATTTTTAATTTCAAAATTCAAAAAATTTCAAATTTTAAAAATCAGGACAACTCTTAACTTCTCCCGTTTTTCTTACTCCATCAAGTTTCACTTCCTTTTTTTCCATAATCATCTTCCTTCTTCTTAACCCAACAGAATTTATTGGTTTCTTCTTTTTATTCTTAATCCATCATCTTTTTCTTCTTAATCTGTAATCGTCTTAACCCAACATCTTTTTATTATTAATCCATCATCAGTTCGTCTTTTCTTCTCTTTTTTGTTTTTGTTAATTGTTCTATTACATTATAGTAATGGATCCGTTAATTAATAGAAGAATATATGATTCCGACGATGAAAATTGGAAAGAAAATAGGAAAAAGTCTTTGCATGATCCTATGAATCTTCAGAAGGATTCAAACAAAGACTCTGGCGAAACATCAAAATCAAAGGTTGTCAAAATACAACAAAAAAAGAAAAAAGAAGCAGCAAACATTGTTATTAGGCCTACATTGTCTCGGGTTAGTATTTTGGTATTTAAAACTGTTGTTGAAATTAGTAAAAATTTTAAGGAATCTAGTGTGCTTGCCGATACATTTGAATAAGTGTGTATAGTATTTTAGATGGTGAATTAATACATGAATTTGTTGTGTATCATAATATTTTATATGTATTATGAAGTTTTGAAAATTGTTATAATGTATCATTCAATAAGTTTAGTAAATGCGTCATCAACTGTGCTTGATGATACATATAGAATCAGTGTGTACAGTGTTTAGTCAATTCACTGATACATGTTTTGCATATAGTATGAATTTCTGAAAACTGATATCATGTATTAGTAAGGTATTAGTTGTTTAGTTGATGTACTAATATATGTTTTGAAAATTGTTATAATGTATCATGCACTAAGTTTGCCAAAGCCTGTGTATCATGTGTTGTGCCTTCTACACACGTTATTTCTCCACTTGTTCCATCAAAGTTATGTACAGTACCACTATTCTTTTCAATTGTGTCAATACATAATGGATACACTGAATATTCAGGCTCATTTTTTGTAGTTCAAAATATAGTTTAACACTCATATCGTTCTTAAGTTTCATCGGACAGGAGTTACCTTCTACAATGTATCGAATTTCAATTTCTTTCCTTGATACATCAATATCCAACTCGGTTGCAATTGTTGCTTTGAGATTAGAAAACGAAATTGAATCTCCAACAAAGATTCCATCGATTTTGTAACTTTCAAACTGCAATTCGTTCACCCAAATTTCGGAATGTCTCATCAAAATCGACGTATTCATCTTGAAAAATCCACTGTAACAACAATAAAATTACTGTAGTTCGAAATTTAACAGATTGTTCAAAAAAATTGTTTTCAAAATAGATGATATAATCTTTGTTTTTCAAAATTTGAAATTAATATCCAATTAAGTGCTGATTTTATGCTGATTAATGATATGTTACCGTAAATTTAGCTGTTTTATTAACAACATTAACTGTACCGTTTTCCCCTTTTTTTTTCTCAACAGTTTAAAGTACCATGTATCATTTACCATGTATCACTAGAGTCTAAAGTATCACGGGTCAACAAATTTAAGGGATTTTTTGTAAATACTAAATTTGTCGAACAAAATGTAATTATTGAATTACACTATGGATAGAAAAAATTACTTATATACACACACTTAATTACTTTAATGTCCATTTATCCCTATCTTTTTCAAAAATTTCAAAAATCCCTTATTTCCCCAATTCATAAAATCTTTCGGATAGGTAAATATTTCACTCCTATTTTCAGCTACACCATGTTTCCCTCTTCCCATTTCACTCCTATATTTTATCCCTAAATTCTCTCCACTTCTTTAGAAGTTACAAATTTCAAATTCCTTTTGATTTTCGTCTCTCTCAAGTTTATCAATTAATTTTTTTTTTAAATTTCAAATATTTTCTATATTCAATTAATGATTTCAAATTATTCAGGAGGTAGATTTCTTTCCTTCACTTCAATTTTCGATTTCTTTTATTATTAGTTTTAAATTTTCATTTTAAAAATAAAAATAAAGTTACCTCCATCCCTTGCCCTATTGAAATCTTATTGAACATTTACAATTTTAGTTAATCATATTGTCATTGAAATTTTTTCTTGTAAAAGTATTTCTTATCATTTAGTGTTTCTACTATTGAAAAACGTCCAAAAAATTTATCTACCATAGCACGATCATTACTATCAAAGATATAGATTTTAAATGTATTTTGTTTATTTTGAGTCTTAAATTAGTCTTTATTAGTGTTATCATTGATCTGATACCTCACTGCTACAATAACCTTTAATTTATACAAATGTATAATGTTCATGTTTAAGGTATTGATGCATAACTCTAATGTTGTTGAATCTTTGATTAGTGTTTATCATGTTCAATATAAATATACTCGATATATGAATTTCGTGTTATTTATTACACACAAAAAAGATGTTATTTTGGAACAATTACTTGTATTATATATATTTTTATTTTTAAATATAGTATTCTCAAACATAATATGATACATATATAATAAAGTATCATACACTAATTTTTTAGTTATGATACGTAAATTCAAATTTATACTAAATGTGTCTTATATATACCAATTACCAAACAATAAGTACCAATCTCAAACTTAAAATCTTGTGGGAAACACTTTCTTATTTAATGTATCTAGTAGAAATGCAACACTTATTAATTTAAATAGAAAGGATCTTCATGATCTCAAACAAAATAAGATACATAAATAATAATATCTCATGCACTAATTTTTTAGTTATGATACGTAAATTTGAATGTATACTAAATGTATCTGATACATAACAATTTCCAAATAATAATGTATTGATCTCAAACCTAAAATCTTATGGGCAACACTTTTTAATGTATCTAGAAGAAATACAACACTTATCAATTTAAATTGAAAGGATCTTCATGATCTATCTCCTCAAAATTTTTTATAATTTTGAATCAAAATTGAAAGAATTTTCAATGAACTAAAGAAGAATTTTGAATCTCAAAATTTTTGACAATCATGAATCAGAATTGAAAGGAAATTCTTATTTTTTAATAAATTACTCGGTCTTATATTTGGAAAATTTTATATTAAGCAAAAAGATTTGGGGGGGGGGGGGTCAAGTCCTTATCTCAAATACAACACATGTGGTGATCACGTCACCAATAAGTTAGCCAGAAAATAGCCAAGCTTCTAGCTAACATAAAAATTG